AAATGCTTATAAATCCCATTTTTATTCTGACTGCAACATTCGAAGAAGGAAAAAATTATTTGGGAAAGAGCCACGTTCACCACAACAGCCTTCTTCTTTTAACTGCAGCCAGGCCATTTCAGCACAGAACCTCTTCGCTAGGTTTAGCATCGTCTTGCTGAGATATGCAAGGCCTTTTTCTGAAAAAGACATTATCTGGATGGGAGCACATATTGCTCTAAAAGCTGACCTTATACCATTCAACATTAATGGTGCCTTTCAAATGTGCAGATTATTCTGAAATTGCTCCATAAATTGTGGACAAGGGCTTTTGCCAGATTAGTTAATATATATCCAATCACGTTACTGACCCGTTGCCAGTTAACCTGAATTTACCTTCAGCTGTTTCAGTAGTTTCCCTTATCAGTTTAAATATTTAACATTTTCCATGTTTTATTGTGAATAAAATATGGGTTTATGAGACTTTCAAATCACTGCATTCCAGTTGTATTTCCTTTAAACAGCATTTTGTCTTTTTTGGAATCAGGGTTGTAGAAACTACACAGTCAGCTTGCAGACACTTAAAAAAAAACAACAACAACACTCAAATGAGCTTTATTTTTGCAACACAATTTCATCAACACCTGTCTAACCTGAAAATACATTTCAATTTATTTAATGCATTTTAATGTGGTATGTTACAGTCTTGTTTCTGCTTGTCAATAGATATTTTAATATCACAATTTGACAATATTTGTGAATATATAACAAATATCTGGTGTGAAACAAGAGAACAGCAAAGGTGAAAATTAAATAGAGAAGCCACAATAGCTGCAAGTGCCAAGTCCACACTGATCCTGGTTTACAGCTGTCATCTGTGGAGCGTGAGGCCTTTTCTCATTCACCCATATACAAAGAAGGTGAAGTTAAAGGTGTCAGTGCTGTCTGGCAGTTATTTGAACATATACAAAAGGCTTCAACAATTTCACACCTTCAGAGCTTTTTCTATTTCATAAGACGTATTCAAGTTGTGTCCGAAGTCCAGGGAAAAAAGGGGTTTTCTCAAGTGCTCCTCTTTTTTACTTTTGTGTTTGTGTGTGCTGGTTTCCAAAGGCCATGAATGATCAGTCTATGCGCACGTGTCCACAGTCCTCAGCTCTGAGACCGGACTCTCTGCAGTGTTGATTGGAGATTGTTTTTAGCATTTCCACATGACTCCAAGGTCTTGTTATTCCTAAGAATGACACATGCAGATTGTACAATTATTTATCCATTATTACAATTTTTTCATTAAAAGATCTGGAGATTTTCTAGGATCCCATGAAACACCCCAAAATCAACAATAATTATTTATTCATTTTTTTTATAAGTAAACTGCACCAAAATATTGCATTATATAAATAGTTTAATCAAGAATATAATGAATCCTCTCCAACACAAAAGTGAGATAAAACCAGGGCGAAT